ATGGTTCCCAGTACTTCTCTCGGAGAATGTACGTTAAGCGGGCAATTGGATTAATAGCCAGATTCCGTTCAAACACAATAAGGAACTTCTCACGCATTTCTCGGTCCTAAATCAGACTTTAGAAAATCCAAAATCAAATCAAAATAAGATAAATCAGGAGCCAGAATATCGTTCGCTACTTTCCTTTTTTTTAAACTAAATTCTACTATACTAGCAGGACACCCTGAGTTGATACAAAGAAATGCTTTTGCTGAGCGATCTGCAACTTCCAAAATGCTTGTTTTGTCAGTGAGTGGCGGACTCCAATTCCACTGTCGATGGACAGAACAATATGGGCTTGGCAGTACTTGGGGACTGAGGTAATCCACAACGTATCATGTAATTAGTACCTGTGCGGTTAAACCCCAGTGAAAAGCGTCCTCCAACTTTTCGGCGTAATCTGAGGTAAGCAGAAGTGGATGTTCGAACACAAACAGCACGACTTTCAAGAACATTTTCATCAGTTCGCCGTTGGTTCTGAACACAATGACTAGGTGCAGTCTGTACAGTTTCAACTGGAATCAAACCTGTATCGCTTTTCAACCACACTCTGCAAACGCACAAGCAAGGGAAGACCTGGATTCGCACAGTTCTGAAAAGAAACATCTAGAACACAAGCTAGTGAAAAGAATACCGTAACAAATTGATGGTTCTAATGTTAGTGTACAAAAGAATGGTCATTCTGCTCATGGCGTAAACCGTCAAAGTCGTCAAGTTTACACTGGAACAGGAAGACACTGGCAATGCGCCAGGCCAGAGCATCTGCGTGATTTCCAGGCAAGATCACCGGTGTGAAGGCTCCTGGAGGTTATCACTCTACTACCGACCAGCTTACCTCAGGCGTGTAGACAACGTCGCCATAGTTCATTTGTTTTTCAAGATTCGACTCTGAGAATCAAGCTGAACCTCGAGTGCCCTGGGATCGTATGTATCCGAAGGATTTATGAGACAAATTGTACACTCACTCCGAGGATGGTCTTTTCCACGTGCGGGGTGTATGGGTCTGCAGCTGCCTTCGCGTGCCACTTTTTCTGCTCCAAAGTGTAAGGAGACGCGGTTTCAGGGTAATGTACGTTAGTGCCGTCACCATACTCCGCCCGCGCTACTCTCATCTGCGTCGATCCAAGGTCCCGCAGCGAAACACACACTCAGTAGTAGACAACAAGTTGAAAGGGAGAGAGCGCCGACAATTAGCGCGTTTGGTTAAGGCTGGGTGCTGGTTGGCGACGCGGTTGCGCACAGCAGAGTACGGAGACGGCATCAGGGCACCACTGCCCTCCAGCCATCTCCCCTTGCAGTTTGGGGTCACGCTACTGCAGCTGCTCACCTATTCTCCCCACACACGGCAAGGGCCCGGATCTGTGGAGATAAGGGTACAGTTTGCTTTAAGATACGTGGGATGAGGGCAGTGAATGTTCACAGTATTATTCATCCCTCGATTCAGCGTGAAGTAGCGTAGAAGTAGAATTATCGGTGCCTCCACGAGCAGAATGTTTGTTCCTCCTCTAGCTCCTCCCTTCTACTTTCAGTTCTTGGCTCATATGCCCCAAAAAAACAACCATATTTCCCTTAAATCTTTCCGAATCTGAACTACCTACTCCGCTCCGTACTGTGAACCACCAACACAAGACAAAAATGATATAGCCAACCTCGTCCCGATGTGTAACGACGAGTTCGGAGACAACACGCAGTACTACGTCGATGATTTTGTCGAAAGTAGAGCGTTCAATCAGAGGAAGTAGGACATTTTGACATATGGTCCTTTTCGCTTCTGCTGATATAGCTTCAACACGTGGACGCAACATCTCCAGAGCCATCGCTATCATTTCAGCTGTTGCTACTTGAATAGAAAAGTTACAGCTGCAGGTAAATATGGCTGAAGGGTAGAAAACAAATGGCAAACGTGGGATAGCTGACCTTTCTCTCTAGTTGCTTCTCCTTGTTCTGTAATATGCCCTATGTGCTCCCTAACAGCCTTCTCGAGTACCTTCAAACAAGATATTTAGACTGCAGTAGGGGAAACTACTGCGATTAAACGAAATCATTTTATAGGTCAGCCCATGCAACGCTGAACTGAATTTTCAAGGTGTCAAGATTTTGGTAGGGTAAGCAGAATCCCTGTGGGGGCTTTGATCCCTAGTAACTGCTCTTCTCCTTCCTTCGTATAATACCTTTGAACATTTTCTACAGTCTTCGAGGGGGTTCAGGCTCGTTCATGTTTTCATCCACCGAGGGTGGTTAGAAGCTCAAGAGTTACACGTAGCCACTGTGCTTACCTTTTTCATCCTTTCATTTT